CCTGTGGAATGTCGACCCCACTGACGATCATATGAATGACATGCTGGGGTTCCTCCTGTTCATTTTTCCTATTGGCGTCCCTTTCTCTGAAATGATTCTTGGCTCGATCACTGAGGATCTCTCGAAGGTGGCCCTCATTGAATAGATGGGCTACCTCCTCCCTCAACTGCCTGCAATCCTCGGTCTTGTGACCATGCATGCCATGATACTTGCACATCAAATTTGGGTTTCTTTGGGAAGGATTGGTCAGTATGGGTCTGGGCCACCTAGTATCTTTGATCCTTTCGATTGCCGATACAATGCCCGATGCGTTGACGCTAAAGTTATATTCCAATAACCGAGGTGCCTCTATGGGATCGACATGCTTATCAAAACCACTTTTGCTCATAAGTCCCCTAGAATTATGTCCTCGATCACTTCTTCGATCGTTCTGGGCGGAATTGCGTCCTGAACCGTTATTCCTACGATCTGCAGTATATGGTTGATATCATTCTCTGGTCGACGTCCCTCGGGGTTTTAACTGCCGACCTATTTGGATGTACTGAACCGGAAGGGGCTCATAATTGGTCGTCCTCGACCCTGATCTTCGATTGATATCGATTGTGCACATCTGCCCAAGTTACAGCTGGATACTCGACCAAATTTTCTTTCAATTATCGTGATGCTATCGAATTCCGCTCGTTCAACCCTTGGGTTAAAGCTTGAACGGCCCAATCATCTATGACCGGTGGAAACTCTATACGTTCCATTTGAAATCGGTTTACGAACTCCCTCAGCATTTCGTTATCCCTTTGTCTTATCTTGAAAACCTCCGATTTTCTTATTGTGACCTTTATGGCCCCGGCGTGTGCCTTCACAAAAGAATCTGCTAATATGGCAAATGAATCGATGGAATTTTGTGGCAGGTTGTGATACCAAATCATTGCTCCCTTTGATAAAGTTTCCCCAAATTTTTTCAACAAAACAGGCTCGATCTCATCATCATCTAAGTCATTTCCCTTTATTCCGCATGTGTACGAAGTGATGTATTCATTAGGATCGGTGGTCCCGTTGTATTTAGGTATATCCAGCATACGGAAATTCTTGGGAATGGGCATCGGAGCCACACTCTAAGGAAAAGGCTTCTGCACGAACTTTTTCGAATCCAAACCCTTTAGGAGCAGGGGTGCCCCGGTATCTGATCAACCCAGGAGTTGTATCAAAACCACTTTTTATCATTGTCTTCGATCTTCTTCTCTCCCGACTCAATTCTTTTGGTGAGCTCCTCAAGCATTTTCATTATTGCAGGATCAGTCCCTGATTCGTTACCATTTGACCTTTCTGGCACTGGCTCGGTATGGCGAATGATTTCTGGCTCAACCCCACTCGGAGTCCTGTGCTGATTTTGCAACTGAGCAATAGCGGCCTGCTGAGCCTGTAGCATCTCGAATATCACCTGGAGACTAGCTCCTCCGTCTCCTCTACCCTGTGTACCTTGACCACCATATTGGCCTTCCCTCGTACACTCCCTTCGGGGTCCACGCCTAGGTCCGCATTTAAAGCAACATGTGAACTAATATCGACTGGATCGGCAACCGGTGCTCCTCCGAGATTAGCCGGTGGCACCCCGACTCCTGGAGTAATTACATTGTCGTTTTCCCCATGAAATCCTAGACCATCATCACCATGTACGGGTGCGTTTTGAGAGTTTGACATGTTTTAACCTGAGAGCAAAAATACTTGACAAGAACAAGTGTGAAACAACGTGTGTTATCAGAATCAACACTGAAACAATCGCTATTATCCATAGCCCCACGGTGGGCGCCAAACTGTTTACCCGAAAATTCGAGTAACAATTAAACTTGTATTGCGATTCTAAGGATATGTAATTTAATTCAATGCCAATTGATAAACAAGGGATTAAATAGATAAATTAGAGAACAAAGTAAACCAAACCAGTATGTAGGCCAAATCTCGACCTCGACCTGCGATAGTCTCGAAGTGTGATAATAGGAATAGCAAATTATAAAGCAACCCTGATGAACAGTAAGTGAAATAGCAAGACAGTAATGTGCGTATATTTTCTTATCAGTGAATCATGAATCTTACAAATGAATGGGATCCCCCTTTATATAATAGGGGAGTCCTAAATAAGGTGCACTTCTAATTATAATAGGAAATCAAAATTGACAACGGTTTAATCGCCGAAGACCAATCCATTCCGAAATTCACGCAGTGATCCCCGGCTCGTTGCGGGTATCTCTCTCTTTCCGTTATTGAATCATACCGACACCATCTCGAAGCATGCTTTCTTCTGACGTGATATCACTTTTTTTCATCGAAGAACGAAATCGGGTAGCCCCGATTTCCACCGTATACACATTGTTCACTGATAAGAATATATACATTCATTACTTTCCTGCTATTTCACTTACTGTACATCAGAGTAGCTTTATTTTTTACTATTCTTGCCATCCCACCTCGAGGCTATCCCAAGTCGAGGTTGAGACCTGGCCAACACACTAGTTTGATTAACTTTATTCTCTAATTTATTCATTTATTTTCTTGCTTATCAATTGGTATTGGACGAAATCACATATCCTTAAAACCACAATATAAGTTTAATTGTTATCCGAATTTGAGGGTAAACAATATATTGTCACGACCCGGATTTCCCACCGTCGGGAGACGTGATGGCGCCTACTAATAGGAGCTAGGCAAGCCAATTAATCATTAACTTTTTAGGCAAACCCCGACAATATTAAGGCAATGAGACATTTAATATAAAAGCGGAAGTTCTAAATATAAATAAACGGAAAACAAGTGCGGAAATTCAATTACAACCTCTACCCAAGACTGGAGTCACTAACTCACGAACGTCTATAGAATACTAAAAACAGAGTCTGAATAAAATACAATACTGTTTGTTCCGGTACAAGGACAACAAACGAAATAAGGATAGAAGAGACTCCGGGCCATGCGAACGTCAACAGGGCTACCTCTGAATCTCTGGACTAAAGTCAACTCCCAACGCTCCTACTACTGTCCAAAAGCTGCTGCTCCGGCGCTGTGGTCTGTGCAAAAAGATGCACAGAGTGTAGCATTAGCACAACCGACCCCATGTGCTGGTAAGTGCCTAGCCTAACCTCGGCGAAGTAGTGACGAGGCTAGACCAGACTACCAGATAAAACTGTGCAGTTATGAAATATATTACGAAAAATAAACAGGAAATAAGCAGTTTATATAAGGAGGGGGAATCATGTTCTGGGGAGGCAACAGTTAAAACAAGAAGTCTAAACTTAAGGATAGAACAGCTAACAGGAACTTAAATCCTGAGTAAACACACTTAAGCTATAATTTGTCGCGGCGCGCAACCCGATCCGATCACATACAATACTGTTGCGGCGTGCAACCCGGTCCTCAATCATCACTGTTGCAGCGTGCAACCCGTACCACAAATATACAGTGTTGTTGCGGCGTGAGACCCGATCCAATTTTATATAGTGTTGTTGCGGCGTGCAACCCGATCCACAATTATATAGTGTTGTTGCGGCGTGCAACCCGATCCACAATTATATAGTGTTGTTGCGGCGTGCAACCCGATCCACAATGTATAGTGTTGTTGCGGCGTGCAACCCGGTCCACGATTATCACTATTGCGGCATGCAACCCGATCCATATATAGGTAACAAAACCTCACCCAATCAACAATCACAAGTAAGGGGTAAGGGGGGGTAACAACTAGTGACAGCAATCCCGGCAAGGGTAAATATAACAACACAACTAAATCCCGGCAAGGGAGAAAATCAACAAAACCAATAGCACGTCCCGGCAAGGGAGAAAATCAACTCTTTCACTTTCTTGCACTTCTCACTTATAATTCACTTTAACATTCGAGCCATCGCTCCAAGAGTCATTTCATAATCTATGTCTCATGCTCTTTACAATATATAGAAATCATCAAATAAGCATGGAAGAGTCACAATAATTCAGATAATCTCAATATAAGGACACACGGTCATGCTAGACACCAGTGTATAGATACTCGTCACCATGCCTATACACCGTACCCGACAAATAGCAATTAGCAAATAAGACTCTACTCCTATTCCTTCAAGCTAGGGTTAAACCAAACACTTACCTCAAATGCTCCAAACTCAACTCAAGCCTCGAGTATAGCTTTACCCTTCGAATTCACCACCAAACCGCTCGAATCTAGTCACAAATTACTTGAATGTATCAACAAATGCTAATCGAATCAATTTGAATGCATGAAAATGAATTTTCCAAAGTTTTACTCAAAAATTCCCAAAACGCCCCCGGGCCCACGTGGTCAAAACCCGAGGTTCGAACCAAAACCCGGTTACCCATTCCCCCACGAGTTCATATTTATGATTAGTTTTGAAATCGGACCTCAAATTGAGGTCCAATCCCCAATTTTAAGAAAACCTAAGTTCTACCCAAAATCCCCATTTTCACCCATGAAAATCCTTGATTTTAAGATGAAAACATGTTTAATGATGTTAAAGATTGAAGAAGTTAAGTAAAAATTGACTTACAAATGATTTGGAGAAGATAAGTTTCTTGGAAAATCGCCTATGGAGTGTTTGAGTTTGAAAGAATGAAGAAATGGGTTGAAAATTCGTCTAAGTATGAAAAATGCAGGTTGCAGGTATGGGAATGTCACGACCCAATTTAGGATCATGACCGGCACTTAGGAGCAAGTGCTCCCAAGTAAGCCTCATCGGTATTTTATAGAAAATCGGACAGAGTTTCCCCTGTTTTTGGACTATCCAAAAACTTCCCTGTCTCAAAATCAACAACCAACCATCCTAATATCAAACCAAACAATTGAAAACTTATCAATTAACCAAAACAAGTCTCCACCATTACTAATCAACCCACTAACAACCAGAAATACTAATTTATCTCCAACTTTGATAATAAAGAACGATATTAAACATAAGACTATAATAACAAGATAATACTCATGACACTAAATTAATGAGTATGGAGCGACTCTAAGAGTTCAAAGAAAGGACTATAACAATAAATAAAATCTCTGCCCACGCGAACAAGTGCGAGGCTCACCAGGAACTGTCAACCTGTGCGCCCTAATTAACTAAATCCTCGCCCGTGCCAACTGTTGTCTCTGTAAAAAAATTTAGCGGGGAATGAGTCGCTAGCTCAATGAGTAATAACACTTAACCACAACCGTTTTTATTTGGGGACAAGTCAGAAACATGCTAGTATCTCAAAGAGAAAATACATAAAAATGCCCTTTCAGAAACAATAAATAATTTTCAGTCTCATCACGTTTTTCTTGTAGTAAAATAATTAACAATTCAGTAATAAGCTCGGTACCCACTGTATAATATCAGTATTCACATTTTGGGAGGTTTCAATGAACGGATCATGTAATCGGTATAACTGTGGACTTCTATGCAAGAAGTCATATATAACGGTAGTCCCTACTCGAGGAAAATCGGTAACGGTATGCTAGTTCTACCTTCCCACTAGCGAGGGCTATAACGGTAATCGGTAATTACAAGGTGCACCAGGTCTAACGAACCCGCCGTTAGCTACGGGATCCTTCAATGTCTACTCCCATTTATACTTGTCTCTGTAATCCGTATATACTCGTAGAAAATATTTTTAAAACAATATAGGGCATTTCGGTTCTTATCAAATCATATAATTTCTTTTTGATAACAGTAAATTCAAGTAACGGTAAAACAGATCTAGTGACATCGAAAATATTTAAAACCACGATATTCATCTCAAATAACTATTTCGGTATCATATCGAGTAAGAGACTTATCCCACATGCAACTCAAAATTATCGGTAACATATTCATATTAAAAATCATGTGTAAATCATGCAAGTTATGAAAACACAAATTGCGGTAAGATTACTACTCACAGTACTCGTGTCAAAATACCAAGCGCGTCACCTCGAGCAATCCATACAACTTGTTACGGTCAATCTATATTATCAAAAACACGGATTTAAGTGTCAACTTCATGAACTACAAACATAGGTTCTATTCTATCCACTTTCCTCTTGGTTCCATTTGAAATCACCTTAATTAGGCTACCCATGTCCCTATCGAAATAATTCTTTGTAATTCCTATGTATCACCAATTCAACAACTAATTAATTTCATCATAAAAATCATCTTTAATACTACCCACTGTAATTAAAGAACAAACTAAATCCCAATATCACTATTGAAAAGTTAAACAATATGAAACCAAACTTCTTTCAGAATACTTACGTTGCTAGTTTTTGAAATTGCTTGTTAATTCTTGGATGCCAAACAGAGTACTTTTATTCAAGAAGAAAACAAACTGGTGCGTCTTGCTCCTCTCCAAACATCGCATCCTCGCTTCTTCAAGCCAGCAGTTGGGCTTTGACTCCAAGTTGCTACTAAGTTTCCTCGCTCTCACTTTGTTTACCGATTTGAGTTGTAATTATATCCCAAGTTTTCCTTTATGTATTCTATTTGCTGGAAGGCAAATATCCTCTCCAAACCCTTATAAATCTCACGCCACACCATTCAGAGGGGCTTAGCCTCTTAAATTGCTTCATCCCCCTTTTCATTAAATTATTAGCTAAATGACTAATTTGCCCTCTTTTAAAATTATGGGGTATTACAGGGAATTCGCAATTGCGAACCCCGACCTGCTAACTTGGGAAATGCGTGATTTGGTTCGCATTTGCGAACTCTGACGATGGCTGGGACTTTCGCATTTGCGAGCCCTTTTATCGCATTTGCGAAGGCTCCTCATCGCATTTGCGGACTGTTTGTTCGCATTTGCGACCCCTGTGCAGGTGCTCCCTTTCTCGCATTTGCGGTCCTGGACTCGCATTTGCGAGCTCGCATTTGCGAGAAATTCTTCGCAAATGCGAAGATACCAGATCTGACCTGCAACATTTTTTCCAAAGTTCAAAAATGCAACTCGTGGCCTATCTAAAACTCACCCGAGCCCTCGGGGCTCCAAACCAAATATGCACACAACCTCAAAAATATCCTACGGACTTACTCGTGCGATCAAATCGCCAAAATAACGTCATATACATAGAATCAAGCCTCAAATCACATGATTTCTTCCAACTTTTCATAAAACACAAATTTTCCATTTTTAAGTCCGAAACACGTCAAATGACGTCCGTTTTCAACCAAACTTTACAGAAAGCGCTTACATCACATATAAGACTTGTACCGGGCGTCTGAACCAAAATAGGAGCCCGATACCATAGTCTTCGGATCAAATTTCCTTTCCATTTTCCTTAATTAATTTCAAAAAACAATTTCACACGAAAATTCATTTCTCGGGCTTGGGATCTCGGAATTCGATTCCGGGCATACGCCCAAGTCCCATATTTTTCTACGGACGCTCCGGGACCGTCAAATCACGGGTTCGGGTCCGTTTACCCAAAATATTGACCAAAGTCAACTTTAATCATATTAATATCAAAATTCATCAATTTTTACACAGAATTCATATTTAAGCTTTTCCGGCTACGCGCCCGGACTGCGCACGCAAATCGAGGCGACCAAAAGTGAGGTTTTCAAGGCCTCGGAAGCGCGAAAAAGAGAGAAAACAGGTGATGACCCCTTTGGGTCGTCATATTCTCTACCTCTAAAACAATAATTCGTCCTCGAATGGACAAAAGAAAGAAGTACCTGAGTCGGAAAATAGATGAGGATAACGGCTCCACATATCAGACTCGGACTCCCAGGTCGATGCCTCGGGAGGCTGACCTCTCCACTGGACACGCACTGAAGGAAAACTCTTCGACCTCAACTGTCGAACCTGCCGGTCTAGGATAGCTACCGGCTCCTCCTCATAAGACAGATCCTTGTCCAACTGGACAGTGCTGAAATCTAACACGTGGGCTGGATCGTCGTGATACCTCCGAAGCATGGACACATGAAAAACTGGATGCACGGCTGCCAAGCTAGGCGGCAAGGCAAGCCTATAAGCCACCTCTCCCACACGGTCGAGAATCTCAAATGGACCAATGAACCAAGGGCTAAGCTTGCCATTCTTCCCAATCTCATCACGCCCTTCATAGGCGACACTCGGAGCAATACTCGCTCACCAACCATGAAAGCTACATCTCCCGAACCTTACGATCTGCATAACTCTTTTGCCGCGACTGAGCCGAACGAAGCCTATCTTGAATGATCTTGACCTTATCCAAGGCCTCCTGAACTAAATTTGTGCCCAATAACCGAGCCTCTCCCGGCTCAAACCATCCCACCGGGGCCCGACATCGCCTACCATACAACGCCTCATAAGGAGCCATCTGAATGCTGGACTGGTAGCTGTTATTGTAGGCAAACTCCGCTAAAGGCAAGAACTGATCCCACGACCCTCCAAAATCAATAACACAAGCTCGGAGCATGTCCTCCAATATCTGAATAGTCCGCTCAGACTGTCCATCCGTCTGAGGATGGAATGATGTGCTCAACTCAACCTGGGTGCCCAACTCTCGCTGAACTGCTCTCCAGAAGCGCGAGGTGAACTGCGTACCCCGGTCCGAAATGATAGATACCGGCACCCCATGAAGGCGAACAATCTCTCTGATGTAGATCTCAGCTAACCTCTCGAATGAATGAGTGGTTGCAACAGGGACAAAATGCGCTGACTTGGTCAGCCTATCAACAACGACCCAAATCGCATCAAACTTCTTCCGGGTCAACGGAAGTCCGGTAACGAAATCCATGGTAATCCTTTCCCACTTCCACTCGGGAAGCTCAATCCTCTGAAATAGTCCACCAGGCCTCTGATGCTCGTACTTAACTTGCTGACAGTTCAAACATCGAGCCACGTATGCAACAATATCCTTCTTCATCCTACGCCACCAATAATGCTGCCGCAAGTCCTGATACATCTTCGCGGCGCCCGGGTGAATAGAATACCGGGAACTATGGGACTCCGCTAAGATCAACTCTCGAATCCCATCAAAATTGGGCACACAAACTCGCCCCTGCAGTCTCAAGACACCATCATCATCTAAGGTCACCTTCTTGGAACCTCTATGTTGCACCGTGTCTCTCAGGACACACAAATGGGGATCATCAAACTGCCGATCTCGGATACGCTCCAATAATAAAAAACGAGCAACCGTGCAAGCTAACACTCTGCTAGGCTCAGAAATGTCCGACCTCAAAAATCGATTGGCCAAGGCCTGAATATCCAAAGCAAGCGGTCTCTGGCTGACCGGAATATAAGCAAGACTGCCCATGTTGGCGGACTTCCTACTCAATGCATCGGCCACCACATTTGCTTTCCCTGGGTGGTACAAAATAGTAACATCATAATATTTCAATAACTCCAACCACCTCCTCTGCCTCAAATTCAACTCTTTTTGCTTGAACAAGTACTGAAGACTCTTGTGATTAGTGTACACCTCACACGTCACACCATATAGATAATGCCTCCAAATCTTCAGAGCATGAACAATGGTTGCCAACTCTAGATCATGAACCGGATAATTCCTCTCGTGGATCTTCAACTGCCTCGAAGCATAGGCTATGACTCTGCCATCCTGCATCAATACTGCACCAAGTCCAATACGGGAAGCGTCATAGACTGTATAAGGCCCTGAGCCTGTGGGCAAAACCAATACCGGTGCCATAGTCAGAGCTGTCTTGAGCTTCTGAAAGCTCGCCTCACACTCATCCGACCATCCGAACTGGGCACCCTTCTGGGTCAACCTGGTCATCGGGGCTGCGATAGATGAAAACCCCTCCACGAACCGACGATAGTAGCTTGCTAACCCCAAGAAACTCCGAATCTCTGTAGCTGATGCTGGTCGAGGCCAGTTCATGACTGCCTCTATCTTCTTTGGGTCCACCTGAATACCCTCTACTGATACGACGTGACCCAGAAATGCAACCGAACTCAACCAGAACTCGCACTTCGAGAACTTAGCATATAACTGACTATCCTTCAGAGTTTGAAGAACCACTCTGAGGTGCTGCTCGTGCTCCTCCTGGCTGCGGGAGTACACCAAAATATCATCAATAAAGACTATCACGAACATGTCCAAATATGGCCTGAACACTCGGTTCATCAACTCCATGAATGCTGCTGGGGCATTGGTCAACCCAAACGACATGACCAGGAACTCATAATGCCCGTACCGAGTGCGGAATGCTGTCTTAGGGACATCAGACGCCCTAATCCGCAGCTGATGGTAGCCAGATCTCAAGTCTATCTTTGAAAACACCTTTGCACCGTGAAGCTGGTCGAACAAATCGTCAATCCTCGGCAGTGGATACTTGTTCTTTATCGTCACTTTGTTCAATTGCCGGTAATCAATGCACATTCTTATCGAACCATCCTTTTTCTTCACAAATAATACCGGCGCACCCCAAGGCGAAACGTTGGGTCTAATGAAACCCTTCTCAAGCAAATCCTGCAACTCATCCTTCAACTCTGGCGGGGCCATGCGATACGGCGGGATAGAAATGGGCTGCGTGCCCGGAGCCAGATCAATACAAAAATCAATATCCCTGTCGGGCGGCATACCCGGCAGGTCTGAAGGGAAAACCTCGGGGAACTCCCGAACAATAGGAACAGAATCAATAGAAGGGACCTCTGCGCTGGAATCGCGAACATACGCCAGATAAGCTAAACAGCCCTTCTCGACCATGCGTCGAGCCTTCACATATGAGATAACACTGCGAGTGGCATGACCTGGGGTCCCTCGCCACTCCAAACGAGGCAAATCTGGTAAAGCCAAGGTCACGGTCTTGGCGTGATAATCCAAGATGGCATGATACGGGGACAACCAATCCATCCCTAATATAACGTCGAAATCCACCATGTCTAAGAGCAATAAATCAACACGGGTCTCAAGAACGATGAACTCGGTCGACCAATATAGAATCACCCACCGGTGTAGATACATATAAAGGAACACCCAAGGCATCACTAGGCATAACCAAGTACGGTGCAAAATAGAATGACACATACGAATACGTAGACCCAGGGTCAAATAGCACTGAAGCATCCCTATCACAGACAAGAATAGTACCTGTAATAATTGCATCTGAAGACTCAGCCTCTGGCCTGGCTGGAAGAGCATAACACCGGGGCTGGGCCCCACCTCCCTGAACCATATCCCTGGGATGATCGGCTGCTGGCTGGCCTCTACCTCTGGCGGTCCGAGCTCCACCTCTATGATCTCTACCTCCACCTCTGTGGCCTCTACCCCCGCCTCTAGCTGGCTGGGCGGCCTGTGGATCACCTGCTGCCTGAATCATAGGACGAGGACCCTGCTGCTGTGTCTGAGCACCCCTCAACCTCAGGCAAGCCCTCCTGATGTGACCATACTCACCACACTCATAGCACCCGCCTGAATGCTGCAAATGAGAAGACTGAGACTGACCCTGTCGACCTGAATGACCACTTCGGAAGCTCTGAAGCGGTGGTGCGCTGATAGGCTGCTGATCAGAATAATGCGGCTGAGAACTACTACCGCCTGAAGTACCATGAGAAACCTGCAGAGCTGACTGAAAGGGCCTCGGAGGATGGCCTCTACCAA